ACTTTCAGAGATGGCTAAAAAGTCTGGATACTTCCGATTAAGTTTATTGTACTTTTGCACAGCAAGATGAAAAATAAATGAATAAATAATTAAATAAAAGCTGGTTAACTTATTTGTGTTCCCAGATGCTGCGTTGTATGAGTTCAGCGTTTTAATGGTTATCAGGGCACACAGACACCAGCAGGAGTTATGGTCTTGGAATGGAACGGGGGAGTCTGTTAGATTGACTTCAGTCCTGCAGAGGCGCTCCTAAAACCTCCCGGAGTCGTAAAACAACCTCCCCCGGTTCTTGTTGCTGTTGGTCTATAAAAGCACGTTCATGTCACGCTTTGATTTGTTATTGTAGCGAGCGGCTGAACCCAAGTGAAAGGTGAAAGCGCTGTCAGGTGGCGTGTGCTTGTGTGTTGTTGCTCACCACATGAGCAGCAGCATGAGTCCTAACAGCAAAGGGGAAAAAAGGGAAACCACCCTGGCCGCTCTGTCCACTGGAACCCGACTCTTCTGTGGCGCTCTGGATGAAGGGATGGGAGAAGTCTTTGTCTCTGCAAGAACCAACAAYGCCACAAAAAGACCTCGTGAGCATWTTCTTATCCTTGCTCAGTTCGTTTTCTTATGTATTGTATGTGTGGGGGCTTTTTGGTCACAAAGTGTACAACATCCCCACAGGGCAAAACATTCAATACACTGTTTTTTGATGAATGGAGCGCTGAAAGTCGCTCATCATAGTGGGAAGAAGCAAACAGAAAGGATAACAGAGTGAGGAGCAAAATCAATTCTAATCTGCAAGCACAATCAATATGAGACTTGTCAAGACATTTATGAAGTGAAAAAGACCAAAAAAAAAAAAAAAAATCTGAGGGCAGGAAAGAAAAGAACAAGACAAGGTGAAACAGGAGGTAAACAGAGTTAAAAATAATTAATAAACCTACACATGTTAAGTTAACACGTACCGAGAGTCGTGTCGGAATAGAAAACAGGCAAATGTGGCTTTTTTTTACGTTTCACTGCACTTTCACTAAATCYACAGTATAAAGCTGATAAAACTCCAACTTGAACACGTTTTAATGCAAAGGTCAATTTCATTTCATGTTAACCAAACAAAAGTTGAATCTACGTGCTACACAACAAACATTTAATAATGAAAGAAAAACTAATATCTTAGAAAACCACGAAGGGTKGAATCAATAAAAAGAAGAAACAAACAAGTAATAAAGACGTCTCATAAAGCACAGCTAATGGATAAAATCAATTTAATCAAATCCCAATGAGGAAATAAGGAAAGGTGCGTGTTTATTGTCTTCAATGTTTTTCTTTGTTCATTTTTGTAATTGATTTTATTTTATTGAAAG